TTAGAATGTATAGCTGATATTGGTGTGCGATTAAACCAATAAAGCAACGAGTCGAAAAATTAAAGAGGCTGTATCGCGCAAACTGGTGCCATTTTATATATCATAGTGTGACTTGAAAGAATTTGTTTTAGTCTCTTAGGTATTTATAAAGCGGTGGTAGCCTAGTGGAAGAGCGATTACCTCTTAATTTAGAGGTCGACAGGTCGAATCCATGTGGTCACTCTATACTCAAATTTCTAAGTTGCGGACATTTGAAAACGTTTAGTAGTTCGTGGGCCTGGTGGTAAGCGACACGGCTGTCCATAACAGTTGCAGTGCCACTCGGAGCTTTTAATCGCAATGATATGAGGGGCACTGCCACTGCACCCGTCATCCTGAAGTATAAGTTGACAAGTCCCGTGCGCCTGTAATTTCACCAGCACCTACCCTTCAAGACCGGAACGCAGTAATGCTCACATTACTGTTTGGCGGTAGAAATAGTTAAGTTTGCAGCATTTCCCTGGACGAACTCTTTCACAAGGAGCTCTACTGCGTTTGAACGTTTTTTGTCAAGTCCCCAACCCGCATCAGACCAACATGGAGGATTATGGCCTAAAAATCTAGATGATGATAATTTTGATAGGTATTAATAGAAAGCTGAAACTCCAATATTAAATTAAATAGTCATAAAATTTTGAATAATCCAATTCAGCGAACAGTGTCTTGGTTGTCGTCATAATTACTCCTTTATTAGCATATAGAGTTTGATCTTTAAATTGTATTAACGAATAAATAAGCTAATATACCGTTAGATGCCATTTAAGAAGTTGACAAGTATGGATTTTATATGCGTCCTTATATAGCGTCCTTCGGCCAAGTGTCGTAAATGTTATTAAGTTATATTTTCAGGCCAACTTTACACATACTCGTGTTAAACTCGTTCTATCGGGGAATCATTACACTTACCGACGCAGAATTGCTTTAAGCGCGCCAAAGAAAGCTTTATGCCTACGTCATATGAACGAAAAAGACATCACTTCTTTCGCTTGCGCACGGACTGCCGCCGATGCGGAACTCACATATTAACATAACAACAAAAATTCCAAATACGGCAGTTTGTAAGGAGGAGGAAGACGAGTGGAAATGGTCATAATTTGTATATCTGGGACTCATCATACCGGATATCTGACCTCAAATTATGACCATTTCCATAACACTCTGGCTAGCATCAAATTAGAATAATAATGTTTCTCAAATTGATTCAACTAGGAATCGAGCACGGAACCTGCTTAAGTGCCAAGAGTCACCCAAAGTGTGTCTTGTCTCCTAATTACATGTCGACTAGAAAAAACTCTCCTTTTTTTAAGTAAGTATATGTAAGTATGATATTACAATAATTTTTAAGTTTATTGAATGTCACGACGTTTGATCACCATATATTTGTGAAATTACTCCTGTGTAAACCATGTTTACTGTGTATAAATTATCATTATAATGGTTTCTCCAAGGAGTCAATTCTTACTTTAGTATCAAGGAAACAATTTCTAGTTTTACTTAATTGGACACAAAGTATGTGTTTCTTGTATTATAGCATTACAGCGTGAATATTACGTGAAAGGGACTATCGGTTGCAGTGCAAAATTTTAGAACAGGCAGAAGGTCGGCAGACGGTGTAATTAGTCATTTAATTGACCTAAGGACCACCTCGTCGCCTAGTCTATCTTTTTGACGCCATGGCGACAACAGAAAAACGTAATAAACTGTGCTAACTTCAGTATAGAGATAGAGATATATTTATTTGTAAGTATATACGGTAAATAGATATATTTTACATACGTAAGGCATCAGGCATAGAAATATTAATTACAAAGTTTACATTTATTCTTTATGTCATATTGCATTATACATATAATTAATAACGCGCACAGTCATAGCCCTGCACTAGGGAAAACCCGTATCGCGGGTGCCATGGACACATAGACTACCACGAATTAAAAAGAATTAATTGAATAATAGAAAAAAAAACAATATAAGTAATATGTAACAAAAAGAGCAACGCATGTCAAAATAATTACAAATAGGTAGTGTCACAGCACACGCTTCAAAATTTAAATGTTAAAAACACATGTACAGTACAAAAACAACTTGGTAACTGGGCTATTTATAATTCGTAATAACAGTTGCCAGTTGCCGCACAAAATTATGCATAAATAAATATTTTCCAAAAAAATATGTTCTGCGTTGCGTAACACAAGACGTGGACGTTGAAGTGGACCGAGGTGCACCCGAAAGCCTTAACAGATAATTCGTGGACTTGGGAATAGTTTGTAGAATACCTATTTTTTTACTTTATTTGATAAACAATGACATTTTGTTTAGGTATTTATTCTCGTCTAATCGACGGCAAAAGTCCTGATTTAATAACGTATTTAAAAAAAAATACTTTCGAGATATGGCAATAATAGTCCAAATTACACTAAAATTAATAAATTCGTAAATTAAAACAAATATTTTGTTTAAAAAAATCATAAAAAAGAAGAATAAAAAAAATCTAAAGTAAGAGGCAGGAGCAGACGAACTACACGAGGTGGTCATCGCCGCCAGTGGACATCTGCAACATCAGAGGAGCTGTCTGTGCGTTGCAGCCTTTGAGAGCCTGAGTAGCTTTTTGAAGAAAGTCATGTCATGTCATGCGCAAAGGAAATACTTCAGGAGGGAGACCGTTCCACACCTTGCAGGTTAGGTTCGAGGAAGAAACCAACACTATGCCCGCGTGGACTTACTATGCTAGGTATTAAGATTTCCCGCCTTTACTCGTACCTCTAAGTACAATATAGTGATTGGCACTATATTGTAACTAAGCAACACACATAATTATAACACTTTCTTAAAGTTCAAGATAATTATCAGTTTGGGTCTATAGTGCGAATGACCTGAACACGGGGACCGGATGTCTGGTTGAGGGAAGCCACATTACTGCAAACTGTAGCACATTTCGTAAAGTGGTTACAACTAGCACGATGATAAAGATGTCCGCACTATACATCTTACATAGTCATTGAGACTTGACCCAAACTGCGTTGCGTATGTGGTGGTACGTATTATATAAAGTTTGTCACATGTCACACAGATCAATACTTCCAATTAACACTACGCCAACTTCATTTTTGGACCAGTTCTATTTTTATTTTGGTTTTTGTTTCTTTTTATTTTTACAAAATTCGTTTTTTATTATTTTTTTCGAATATTTTTCTTTTATTTTTTTTTTACAAATTCGGGGAGCATAATATTAGTAAATAAATATGGCTGTTTGTTTACAAAAATAACAGAAAATGACCAAAAAATTAAGTTGGCGTAGTGTTCATTGGAGGTATCGAAATATAAAGTTGGGTACAAAGGACTAGTTACTCATTGTTAATTCCTAATAAATTTCACAATAAATATCCAGTTTACTTTAAAATGATTGCCATAATAACAAGGCACATGGACAATAGCGTATCGTTAAGTTTAAATAGCGTATCGTTAAGTTTAAATATATTTGTCAACATGCATTAACCCTTTCGTGCAAATAATGACAGTACGGGGTATCCTTTACTACATGGATCTTAAAAAAACAACTACGGGCTGTACAGTGCAAATTCCAAGATAAAAGTTAGGAAAATGGTATTTTTATTTAATAACACTTACAAGCATCATTTCTTTTATTTTCTATACACGATGCTATCAGTTAAAAAATAAATAAATAAATAGATCTTATAAATAGTTAGTACACGGGTGTAAGTGTAGGTTGCATATTTAATCGGAACGTATGATTACGGAGAATTAACTTACTACTTAAATTAACTAATTACTGTTTTGAGTAAAACTAATAGGAATTGTTATTAGCATTGTTGCCTTGAAGTTGCAGGCAAATAACTTTGCTGTTTGATTTCAAAGCTGATAGCAGATAGCAGGTGATAGATAAAAAATATTATGAGTGCTATTTGAATAACAAATCTTTTTTTTTGGCGAGTTCTTGGGTTTTTTCGATTGTTACACATAGGAAATGGAGCTATTCTTCATTCATTCATTTTATAATTTTAATTTCAGTTTTGTACCTGTTTCTCTATTATTATATTGTTGTGTTTGCTAGTGGTAAGACAATAAACGTGTTATCCATTAATTCAATTTAATTACATAAATATCTAATACCTTTGCACGAAACATAATAATCTGTAGCGAGTGTAATTAGTATGATGATCAGAGGTATAGTTGAAGAAATATTATTTGCACCGATGAATGTTATCGCTTGGAACGGCTGATCCTTCCTATTGCAATAATGTAATAAAATCATTAACACTTCTTTTACTTAAAGCATACAGGATTTAAAGGTCTTGGGTCCATCGTACGAGACATGGACGCGCTAAAGCCTTTTCTGAATTCTAGTTTTGAATTATTTCTTTAGTCATCACTTTGTTTATTTTTCTAAACCGACTGTTTTCTTACTAATTCAGCAAAGTTAGTCCCGCGTGACGATTATCAAGTTCAGAGTTAAGTGTCAATGCGTAAAAGTGTTTCGACTAGTTGTTTAACTAAACTGATAGCACGTGTGTTACCGAAACGACTAACTCTTTTGTCCTATTGTGCTCTAAAGATGAAGCGATTGAGATGAATCGGTGGAAATAATATTCGTCAATTATACCTGGAAAACCCAAACCAGACTCGTCACTGTAGAGACATTGACTTTAATACGCAGGGAATTCCCCAAATTTTATAAACATTGAGCTGATGTGCAAAAGGAGGAGGCCTATACTCAGCAGTGGGTGTTAACGGGCTGAGATGATGACGATGGTGACGAATGTTATAAATGTGGTACGTTTTTTGTAAAAACTAATAAATTAAAACTGGTAAATCGCTTCTACATTTACCTTTGAAAAAGATCGCATCTCGTTGCTATAACAAATGTGGAAGTTTGTTAGATTTAGAGTCGTACAGAGATACAATGTACGTTTTATGGCGAAGAACTTCAACAAAAGACTCACCTGAAAGAACATCCACGTGGGATACTCTCCTAGTTTGACAGCTATACAGGCGCCAAGTGCAATGAAGACTGTGGATATGCTGTCGCAGCCGTGGTCGAAGAGCTCACCGAGCGGCGACTGGCTGCCCGTCCGCCGCGCCTGCTTGCCGTCGATGGCGTCCAGGCTTTGATAGATGAAGACTCCAAGCGCACATAAAGCGCATGTCCACCGCGGCGGGTCTTGCCGCGCGTCTGGACTGTACCTGTTTTCCAAACGGTATTACAATAACGTCGTTTAAGGAGGCGTTAGAATGGTCTGACCCATTCTAATACTAGAATACACATATCAGTGGCGAGGTGAAAATAGTCGTTAGTAAAGCCAGCCCAAAACAAAAAAACCTACTTTCATAAGAAAAAAATCTTGGTTTTTGGCCGCTATTGTTAGGTCTTATTCTACTATGGTTTCACAGCGGACTTTTATGAATTTTGATATGAGTGAAATTTCATGAATGAATTAGAAGACGGGTTCCGACCGGCTTGCGTGGTGAAGATCCATTCACAGAGGATTGGCTAAGATCCATCATAATCCTATTATCAAGGATAGGTGATTACGCGTTTATTGTCGAATATTGAATATAAGTTGTTTCAGTGGTGGGGTATGCGCGCTGTCTAGTGGCAAACTGGTGTGAATTGAGTCATATGAACGCCTCGCCACTGATAACTATATTGTGCCAGGCCAACGAAAGTAACACAACCCATAGATCAGAACCAATTAAGAAAAGTTAGTTTCTATCTTGGTCCTACCGGAATTGGAACCCGAGAGGTTCCCTAGGGCACTTAACGTTAACTGATGGGCCACAGACATTCATCTGAGGAATCAAGACGAAATGCCAGAATACTAAGAGAAAAAGACTGTCAAGTTCTTAGGTTTTAGCGATTATACACATAGGAAATGATACTATTTTTTGGATTTAATTCGCGTATATTTGTTTTTTCAAACCATGGAATCTGTAAAGGGCCTTACAACGTTGGTTTGTTTTGTTTTAGATTCTTATAAAATTGTTTAATTTCCTATGAAAAAGAATATGCACACAGCTAACGAAGCTAAGCTAACTTAGCTTGGCGCATACAAAGCTAATCTAAGAAAATAGGTAGTAAGTAGTGACGCGCTACACTATGGATACGTGCGGGGGTGTAAGGCGACAGAAGGGTTACATATTTTATATTTAGCGGGATCGTTGGGTTAGTTTACTTAGCTCGGTTAGCCTCGTTCACGGCGTGAACCGAAGTATGAATAGATGCCCCGGCTACGTGAGCTAAGCTAAGTTAGCTTAGCTTCGTTCGCGTTGTGGCTTGGGCGATAGTTGAAAGGGCGCATATAACATTTAAAAAAAATTGTTATGGTACCCGATCTGTCACTATTTTTATATGTTCCTGGGTGGATAAGGTATGAAGTTAACGCGAGAGAAAAGCAGATATTTATTTGATTTCATTTCCTTAAACATTATTTTCTCGGTTTTGAGTTTTTGTCTTTTTTTTATAATATCAAGTGACGGGAAGGACACGCCGCGCGCCTGATGGTAAGCTACACGCCTGTCGATAACAGTTGCTCTGCCACTCAGTTTTAAATCGCAAAGATCTGAGGGGCACTGCCACTACGCCCGTCACCCTGAGACAAGTTGACAAGTCCCATGTGCCTGTAATTTCACCAGCACCCTTCAAAACCGGAACACAATAATGCTGACATTACTACTCGGCGTCAGAAATAGGTAAAGTGGCAGTACTTCTCTGGACGAACTCTTTCTCAAGGAGCTCTACTGCTATTGAAACTTGTCACAAGCATCCTTTCAACTAACGGTGGCAGTATGTGCATAGAAAGATGGCAGGCAGTTATAGTACAATGTCTGTATGGGATTATAAATTATCCATTTGCCAGCAATACCTGTAACTATTGTATTTTTCATTTTGATAAAAAGGATTAATCCTTGCACTAAATGCAACCACTAACAGTTTCATTTTCCGTCCACATACATCAGTAATTATCAGATATTATATTATTATTTTCAATTTAAAAACAAATGTCTCATCATGAGTGGCATATTGTTAACACCTGCTAATGCACACTACTGTTCTATCTTATCTATTTTAATAGTAATACAATTAAGAATGATTAATTATAAATCCTTTGAGGTAAAGTATATTTCTTTGATAATCTGATTACCTATGATAATGTGACATGCTTTAAGATTGCTTTTCATGTAGCAGTAACGTAAAATGATAATCCAAAAATATAAACAATCAATGTAACTAGGAATTTGTTTTGATGACAAGTGCTCAAAGTAGGATATTCCTTTATACAAGGTACTTACTAAAAAGTCGCACTTATATCAAATTGTTTCTTAGCCTTATTAACCTCTTCTTTAAAAGTCTGAAACTTCTTATTAATGAATACACTAAAAATGATTTTTTTGTTTTATATTACTTTATTTTATTTGATGAATCTTTTGAATGAGATAAGACTTTTGGTGGAGTGGCCAATACCGCACCTCCCAAATATCACTTAAGTCGTTTGACCATACTTGATGGATCTGGAAGTTCCGCAGTGAAACTAAAAATGTAACAAAATCAATGCTAAATGCGTCTATAATTACAAAATGTTTAACAAAAATATAATTTATGTTATTAATGTGTACTGTTATAATAGTATGACAATATTATAATAGCTACATAAGAGATATATACAATTTTGTGTTTGTTTTATTGGAGCTAGCCAAGGTACATTACTGTTGCCATGAAACTTAACAAATTTCATTAAATAGATGGGTTCCGAAAAACAACTTTAACCTTTTATCTACTTAATAAATGTCACTGCAGACGATGTTATTTAACCCTAAATTATTATGTTATAGTAGACAAATAAAGTCAATTTTATTTGTTTCCTAATTTTAAATATATTTAACAAGACATAAATAAATAAATATAAATGTTAGACAACATCACATATGTTGCTTTGATCTCAAAGTAATTAACTAAAGCACATGTCATATGGAAATCAGAAACAACAACAATACCACAAACACCCAGATCCGAGACATAATATAAGAGTTATTTTTTTACATCGACCCGGCCAGGGGTTGCACCCGAAACCTCAGAGATGGTCACCAAAAGCCATCTAATAGACATGCAAGGATAAATGTATTATTATTTTGACCATGTGGCTGTTGTCTTAGGAACTTCTAAAATAAAGGTAGAAAAAGGAACATACAACATGAATAACAAATACCATGTATTTGACTCAAGTGGACTGTTTGGACGTATTGCTCTAGTTGGTTAACAAAAAAAATCAACATGTATTTTACATTAACACAGATTTAAAAGCTCAATGAAACTTTTTCTGTCATCAATTCAGTATTATTTGATAACATCCAAAATCATTTACTGTCCAAATAATAGCTTGCAATGGCCGACTGAACAACTGTTCAACTGGTCATTGACACATGACTACACAGTAGATACTAATAGGTAACCTCACTGTATGATTACTAATATACTTCCAGGACGCTCATGCTATTTCAAACTGCAAAAAATATGCTAATAAACAATAGGAAACTACAGCAAGGAAGTTGCTACAATTCCTTCCTCAACTACATCTACAAGTGTGTATTAAATCTGCTATGTAAACAAATTAATTATCAGTAAACAAGTCTTTTGCATTGTTTTATATAATACTATCATCATGCTTATTGATAATGGACAGTGTCTTCTAAAACGATGCTTCTCTATCTTATCACCGTCGTGGTACGATATTTGTACGACCAATCAAGAGTAGACATCATCGTAACATTCATAACACGCGAAACAGAGCGCCATTCTTGAATGAAACAGCCGATCAAACCCTCAATCATATGGGAAACAAGCAGTGGCAAATGGAAAGTGGTGGTAGTTCGATGCAAAAACGAAAGTCGTTCCGCTGGCTTAACATTGGTGACACAAATTCTTGGCAATAAAAAGCTCGGAGTACCACTCACCATACTAAAATTAATGTGGTGACAATGTTCACTATTAGACCTAGGATAGTAATGAGATTCGGCGCGAGCCACAGCGGCGTCTTCGACACCAGCCAGCACCACCAAGGCTGGAGGCATGCGTCCAATATACTGGCACTTGTACAAGAATATTTATGTTCACTAAGTCTTTTTAACTGTGCAGCGTTGAGAATCCTCTCCTTATAAAACTGCATTTTCCTTTCTTGTCACGACATTAATCACTTTAAAATTCTCTACACTTAATGACTTTACCGTTATAAATCCGCTAATTTAGTACTAGAAAAATCACACTACCACTCAAGACATCACGCCACCATGTGAATCATAGACAATTTGACGTATTTTTTAAAACGTGGTTGACGTTTCTCATATACATGCCATAAGTCGCATTTGATAACTAAAAAATGTTGCTATAAATAGTTAAACGCCTAAAAGAGGGGTAAAATAATTATGTAATTACCATAGTAATTCCAGAAATTGATATGTAAAGTATCTCACAGTTGTCCGAAAGTGTTGATTTATTACGGAAAAATGAGGTTGTTTTTATTATATAAGTACTGTACATTATTAATTAAAATAATGAACTATTTATTATTTAATATGCGAGTGTAGTAACCAGAAATATTATTAAATATTTCTCAATAATAAAAATTGCCACTGAAATTAGGTAGAGAAACTAATACCATGTAACGAAAATTACTATGTACGTATTAATCTTCAGTTGATTTATATAGTACATATTACTATATTATAATAAACGCTCTTGCGGCTCTTGTAAAGTTTCAGTCTTTGGGTAAAGCATTACTTAAATATGTCTCATCAGGAGGAATCTAAGGGTCGTATTCTAGAACTCTATTCAATGCTCAAGTCAGAATTGCACTGGAAACACAAGCACTGGAAATACGACCAAGCACTGGTAGGGTCGTATTCCAGAACTCTACTCAATGCTCAAGTCAGGATTTGAGTATGGTTTAAAGCACTAGAAATCATACTCAAGTCCCTGCCATTATGGTCGTATTTCCAGTGCTTGAAATCATACTCAAGTCTGCTCAAATCCTGACTTGAGCATTGAGTACAGTTCTGGGATACGACCCTTAGGGTCGTGTTCCAGAACCCTATTCAATATTCAAGTCAGGACTTGAGTATGATTTAAAGCACTAAAAATCATAATCAAGTCCTTGCCATTAGTGTCGTAGTTCCAGTGCTTGAAATCATACTCAAGTTCTGACTTGAGCATTGAGTACAGTTTTAGAATACGACCCTTAAAATAAATTTTCGGTTAACAATTTTTTGTTTTCTTAGGTAAAATGTAAAACAAAACAAGAAACGCCTAAAATTTTTTGTAGTGCAATATAATCGGCATGCTTCTAGCAAGCGGCAGGGTAGGCGCTTAACATCATCAGTAGCATCACACTGTTATTCCAGTGTTCCTTTATTTTTTTTCCATGCTCTAAGGATTTAACGCACCTGTATATTCAACGCGTTACTGAAACGTCCGTTGCTGTGTAAAAGCGCGTGAAACAAAACAGATTCGCATGTCTACCTTGTTTATTTTGTATTTTATATAATGTAAACAGGATAAGTGAGTAAAACGCGATACAAACATGTGTAAGTTGTACGTTTGTTTATTATAAATTAATATCACTGTATGTTGCAATTTTCCTCTATTTTTTTCCATCTTCTAAGGCCGTGTAATTTAACCGTCATGTGGGAAGGTGCTCATTCGACACCATCACATCCGCAGTGCGTCTATGGTGTGTGAAACGCACTTGGGAAAATGGTGAGCTTTGGACTCTATTTCTAGGGTTAGGGTACATTTTTAAAGGGAAGGGGTTTTAAAGTAAATTTAAACTGTACAAAAAATAATTACACTTTATTGTACTTTATCCTTACTCTACTTATCTACAAACAATACCAGGATAGAAAATAAAGAAATTTTGATTTACACATCTCATGGCTTTTATTGAACTTTTTTAAACGTTTAATTAAAAATTTGGAAAACTGGCATCAACCGATTTATTTATTTTTTAGTATAGTTTTATTATAGTTTTCAAACACATCAACATTTATTAAATAAATAGTCATAGCATAGTACATGATACAGTGGCTTATAGTTACTATTTTTTAAATTTTAAATCTCTAAGTTTACATTTAAATATAATTGCCAGTATAACATTTTTCCGTATAGTTTTTTAATAGGTGATAACAAACTATATGATGAATAATTTGTATGTTTTTCTGCTACCTAGTCTTAGCTTGGCTTTTTCTTGCTTCGATCCGCTTCTGCAGCGTTGTCAGCAGTGCACCTAAGACGTTGTGGCCAGGAAGACGTTTGCCAAAGAGCAGACGTTTCACTGAATCATCGTAAGTTAGAAGAGCCACCATGTTTTGTAGAAGGAACCCTTGGCAGTACTCCAGGAGCTGAGTCGCACCGTATACCTGAACAAGAACGGATTGTTAATATTTTCTCTTAGCTATCCTAAGTTGCTAAGTTTTAGTTCAGAGAAAGTTGCTGTATTCTCACTTTAGCATGGATGTACACAGACACCAGGTTATGCAAATCCACAGTCTTCGCCGCTCGTGCCTCGCAGTGTCTCTGCAGAGGCAACAGCTGGAAGAAGGACGCAGCTGCCAGCACTTCCAGCACATCACTCTCCGGAATGTTGAGATTTGAGCAATCACCGGAATAGAGATACTTCATTACTTGCTGTTGGGAGGAAATTCAATTATTTAGAAAGAAATATGACTTGCAGTCTGAAGGTTGCAAACTCTACACCATCATCGCGTAACTTACCCCGAATTTTGAGAATGTACCTACGTATCTATTGTAAGCTATAGATAAATAAAATAAAATATTGCTAATATATACACAGGTATGTACCTCAAATATGTGATATCTGATGTCATTAATCTGCACAAGCGGCGGCGCGGAACTGGCAGCCGGCAAGCTTTCATTCGGTGTCCTAGCAGGCGCTAACATGGCTCGCAGTCGCGGGGATTCCGACACGAGTACAATCTTGTGCCCGTAGAACAGTCGCCCTTCCACCCTGGGATACGAAGGTGCAATTGTGTAAAGAAGCAGAAATACTTGTTGTAAGTTCTTCTTGTTTAGTCCAAGTCTAATCAGGATGGATGCTGATAAACAATAACGTGTCATCCAATATGAGTATAGTTTTGCCGAAACAACAACGAAAAAATCTTTAGGTGCAATTTTTGGCAAAAGTACATTGACATGTTATTGCTAATCAGGTAATCAACATCCGATTAATATCTTACCTAAATGTGACGTCTGCAAGCGAAGGATTGTTGACATATGACGGGTCAACCCTTGCTGGTGTAGGCGCGGATGAAGGTGGCGGTTCCACCACACCAGGCACGGGCTCCCACCCATAGCATGCGCATAAGATGTCTGCTAGGAGTAAGACAGTGCCCTCCTTCTGCATACATGTAAAACTTGACATACTTATCTAGTAAATTATGGCATTTTATTAAGTCCTGGTTATAGTTGGTTAGAAACAAAGTTAATTTACCTTGCTGTAGCGTAAAATGTTAAACAGCAGGGGGAGACACTCGTAGATGAACTGCTTACTGTAATGACTGTCGTCTGACGGACACACCTAAAAGGTTGAATAGAAAGTTTTATTGATGTGGGCATAGGATACATTTTTCAAATTTAGGCTTTAGGTAATTGCTTTACCTGCAAGAAATCTTGTAAGAGTTGGTCGATAACGTGGTCCAATGCTGCGTCAGCGGCTGCTGCTAAGGACAAGGTCCAAGCGTGTAGAGACCACGGTACACCCAGTGCACGTAGTTCTAATGTTATATCTGAAATGCAAAATTAAAAAATAGGAAAATTGAAATTTTTTAACTTTTATTTTATTTCGTAATCGTCCAAGCAATATTTAAAAAATCAATGGAGTTATGTCGGGGTGCACTGTCATTAGTGTAAGATGGTGTAACGTGAAACATTTACGATCTGTTTTGTGACAAGTTGCTGTTGATATATTTATTTCCTAAGTTTGGTCTCTAATATCTAATGCTTGCCTAAGCTGTCTTAGCCCGCAAATTCGCAACGGTAGTTCGTTCAGCAAAGCATTCAAGGTTTGCGCGTACATTGTGTCTTGTATTGGATGTATCTAATACACGGCACACGCTTGCGCGCAATGTGCGCTGAAACCTCGAAAATCCCGCTGAATAGTGTTTGCTTGATAGTTTGATTATGCGTTTACCGTCAAAAGAGATTTAAGAAAATTGTAACAAAATATATTTCATTTATCTATGTATATTACTCAGCTCCAACCGTAAGAATCGAAATACGGAAAGTTTCACACCGGGACACTCTACTACTACTCTACTAGACTCACCTAAATGGTCGGTCTCGGCGGCGTAGTACATGGCGTCCTGCAAGGCGCGCTGCTGCTGCTTGGTGAAGGCCGGCGGCCGGCCCCCCTTGGCGGCGCCCGGCGCGCCCTCGGCCAGCACCTCCTCCAGCGACAGCACGGCGCCGGCGCCCGCGCCCTTGGCGCCGCCGCGCACCGCCGCGCGCAGGCACGCGCGCCGCCCGTGCGTGCAGCACACGGCCACCGCGCTGCGCACACGCGCCGTCAGTAACTGCGCTAGCCGCGATGGCTCACCGCAGCCATCGCGGTAGATGGCCGCAGGAAAGACCGTGCGGTCAGCTCCGGCATAGCATGACTTTTGCTTAGCCGACCTCGGCCTCAGTTCACTGACTAGACTTTTTGCCTTTAGATTAAATCAACAACAACTCGATACCTGTAGCAGCCGTACTGTGCAGCGGCGGAATAACAGAGGGCGTCGTTGAGTTGCGTCGATAGGAACGGGTCCGCGCCGTGCGACAGCAGCAACTGCACCAGTTCCAGGTTACCTACGCCGCAGGCCACCTGGAACGAGATATTATGTAGAACCTAGTACTTTTACACTGAAATAAGTTGTACTTGATTTTTAATGATAGGTTTAATCACAGAAGACACTATATGAGAGGCAAAAACTAAATATATCTACACGAGTAAGGTTTACAATAAAATGCAGTCGTACTATAAAAAGTAAATAACAGAATTGGCAGAACCTTGAGGTAACCTACGTGTAACTAAAAAAAAAAATTGCTGAAAGAAATTAAAGCAAGCTTTTGTCTACACTAGAACAATATTAAATTGACTAACCCTTACGTCACACCATAGATATAGGCTTTTTCCTATATCTATGCGTCACACCAAAGCTGTCGGTGTACGATTGAAGATCAAATAAAAAGTCGAAGATTTTTGGGTTCATTTTGGTCAAAGATAACAAATACATTTTCACTTTGATGGCCATATTTCGCTTAAATTACAATGTGAACCCGGATTCTGTTATTCTTTGTGTCAATCACCTGCAGAGGCGTCAGAGTGCAAACATCATCTCCCCTGGCCGGAGCGCCGTCTACCCGGGCGCCGGCCGCCAACAGTCTTCGACCGCACTCGATGGCTCCTGCCGCTGTAGCCCCGCCTCCTGCAGCCCCTGCACCGCTGCCTGCCCCCGCACACGCGTATACTAAAGCTGTCCAGCCTGGAACAACCGTGCCATTCCTATTGTAAGAGTTTTCAAGACGAAGTACCTATACATTTTTCGTTAAGAAAATGTTACTTCATCAATTAGATGACGTTATCGTGTTATTGCCAATCTCCTCAGTTTAATAAGGTGGCCCGTACTGTTTCCGAGCCGAGTAAAATCGACCGAGTAAATCGAGTTAATCAAAATTCAAAATTACTGTTACCGAGGTATTAAATACTGTTATTCTGGTCGCTTCATGTCTAATAATAATAATTTTCCCTCATCAAAACGGGCATTGATACTTTTCCAGAAGGGTCGACTCATATAATAAAAAATTATACAATATTTAATAAACTATAATTAAAAGAAAGAGAGAATATTAATTGTAACTATTGTGATTAAGCACGGAATTCGAACGATATAATGTATTTTTATTTGATAAGCTTACCAGCTGTCGGGGGAGTGTAAGCAGGCGTTGTTTGTTGGTTTTGTGGCGAGTGTGACGGCGATCGCGGTGATAAAAGTGCGCTGTGCTGAGCTGCTGCGCCGGGGGTTTCAATGTTCGGATCTGCTCCTGCTTCTAGTAACATCTACAGAACGAAAAGTACACCACTTAGCACGGAAAATAACAGTGAAGCAAGAAAATTGCAGAGTGAAACTCACAGCAACAATTTGATCGTCACCAGCTAACGCCGCTTTCATGAGCGCCGTAAGCCCGGAAGCGTCTGCTGCGTCAAGGCCTGCTGGTGGCAGCAGAGCCCTGACTCCGCCAACAAATTCCGGTCTTCCACTGAGCAGAGCTCTCTGGGCTAGGCCAAGAGCCGCTCGACTTAGTTCATCTGGATTTCTTGTGCATCGAGACCACGCTGGTTCAATTGCTTCTTCCAACCTGGAATAAGCAATGCCAATAGTAGATGATCCTGCTCAACATATAAGGACATTAATTTTAGACGTGGTAAGTGTATTCTTGTAAATCATATAACTTACGATACAGGTCTCGGTGGGCAATCTGCATGTGGTAGCAAAAGTCTAGCAGATTGTAAAACGTCATCAGCGTCAGGCACGGCTGGCGGGGGTCTCAGGTTTGCGTGTGCCCTGATCACTCGCACCCATTCGCCAAGAGGCGGTAAAGCACCCGCGCCTCTCTCGCCCCACAGTCCTGCTCCGTTTACACAGCTCCCTGATGTGCTGGTATTGTGTTCCAGCTGCAGAAACCATCAGCAAATGTGTGAGTAATATAATTTATGGTACTCTTACAACTAGTTCTTGTTACGAGTAGCCACTTACTTGTTCACACCGCATAAAGTAGTACAGAGCACGTTCTGCAGACGGTGAGAGTGGTGGATGTCGTGGATTGACTCTACGCAATACACAACGTAGTTCAGCTGCTGAACCTGCGCAGGTGGTCAATAAGACTGAGGCATTAGATCCACCTGAGCTGTTGTTTGAACCTGCTGATGTCCCCGAACCACCTGAAAAAAATTCGATGGCGTTGATTAAACAATACTCCTGGCAGTTTTGAGATTCAAACAAATGGTCAATTAAATTAACTTACCAGAGCCGTTCGTTGTGATCCCTGAATCATGACTAAGTCCTAACTGTCTATGCTCTGGCCTAGAAACTCCTGATGATGAACCGGATCCTAGCGAGCTCATTGACTCCCATCGAGAAAGCGATAATGCTCCTAAAATTAATAGCATAGGAATTTGACCTCATTAAAAATACGTCAAATTAATGAGGATTGAGATACATAGTACCTATATACAAATGGGTAACAAACAAAATTTGATAAAAGTTAAATAAGAAGATACCTGAAGCTACTCTGCCAGCGTTCAAATGGCTATAAGGTTGAAGTAGGCCCCAAAGATCAGCACAGTTAGCAACAGCTAAGTCGATAACAGCCGGGGTTATTGGTCCACTCGGTGTACTGCTTCCAGCGATTAAGGTAATCTCTTCCAATAGGGTCTCCATTCCCGCGCATAGGTAGATTGCTGCGTATCTGATAAAAAGTGACGCGTGTATCAGTACATTACCACCTTACCAGAGTTCACATTGACAGCTAGAGGCGCTGTACTATTTGCTGTACAAAATTAAATCAAATAATTGACGCAGGCACTATCGTCACTGTTAACTCACATAAATTAAAAACTTTTAAAGTAGTTAGCACGTAAAAGACTTACTCGTGAACAAAAGAAGCCACGCGGACGTCGAGCATCCACCTCTGAAATCTACCTGGAGCTAAATTTGTTCGTGCTCGTGCTGCTGAACCCAATCTTCTTGCTGCACTCCCTGAGGTTGCGTACATTGTCGCTGCACGCTGGCATCCCTAAATAAAATCACATTATTTACAAGTATATACAGATATAAATCATAAAAAACATTAGGTTCGCATTTATGACGTCAAAATTAACCCACTAGCATTTACCTTTATACAAGCATCAGCAAGTGGAGTGCTTAAAACAATTCTGAAAGCGCCTGCCACTTCGTGCTTGGAACAAAAGCCGAAGTTCTGCGACAGACGTTGAGCCTCTCGGGCTATTCGCACTAGTGCCCTTGAAAAGAAAATTACCTCGACATTATGTGCCTCCAAAGAATTAAGTAGATGTATATTAGTTACATTTTTTACCTTTGCAGCAAATAAGCAAGTCTCGATGGTGCATCAGGGGCCATTTTTGGTGCGATTTCTTTACACCTTCCTATTTGTATAGCACGACTGATTTCACTTGCAGTCCATGGAACACATCGCAGCTCCACCAATCTTAAAGGCAATAAACAGAATTTTACGTAATCGAAGGAACATTTTTTCACCAGGAGTCGCACAAACAATACAATACAGACCTATTATGGGAATCTACCCAGACAAATTCGTCAGCACTGGTTACATTTGTACAAACAGTGTCCAACGACGGCTGTCGAACTAACGGAGCTCGTCTTCTTCTAGCTTCGGCTGCACTTCCCGTCTCTGTAAGCAACATATTAGAATGACACTAAATGTAAGACGGAAATTATGTTGTCAAACAAATATAAAATTTATAGGAAACCCTAAAGGTGCGATGTTTTACAAATACAAACCTGGAGCACCATTGTTACTGCCTCCTCCAGCACTAGAAGCGCCACTTGTAGCTGTACTGCTACTGTCCCGGGAGCGAAGCGTGAGCTGCTTGATTGCCGACCTAATGTCCTCCAGTCCCCCGCCGCCAGGCCACGGCGACTGCAGTTGCGGGAACGAGAGAGACTACAAAATACATTATTCTAACGTCACAAACATTGTTTAATGAAGATTAGTTGACTGCAGGATTGTGTGAGCCAGAAGGTGTAAGTAAATATTGGTTCCGTTAATTTTACCGTACTGTAAAGTTTGGAGAAAGATCTGTTGGTGTACCTTATTATGTGGTCGGTGTTTGGTCCTATTGTGAGGCGGTTGCCTTGACCTTCTAGGTTCCTCTCTACCGGCTTCCCCTGCCCCGCCGCTGTCTGACATGGAGGCATGTCCCGATGATCGATTCTCGTCTGAGCTGCTGTTGCAATCGCGAACGCCATTCTGGAAAATAAAGTCACGCCATTGTATATACTTAATCTTATTGGGTCATCACCTATCGGAGGGTGGCGATGATTTAAGCCACGTTTATTTTTGTGTAAAGTGAAAGCGACTATCGTTTAAGTTATGAGACTTATGGCTAGATCATTCATTAAATTGTTTAGTGGAATTTGAAAGATTGCAGGTAAATGTCATTTTTTTTAACTTTTAAATATGTCCATCTCATAACAAGCGAAAAAAAAATCAGCAGTTTAATACTTTGTTATAAAGGAATGTCAGTATCATCTCCTGCCCTTTAAATAGTAAATTTTCAGGTGAATGAATGGCCATTATAGTTAATCTGGTAACGTCGATAACATTATGTTTTATTGTAAAAATAAATCCAATACAGAAATACGTGGAAGTCAGAAAAATAATATAAGTACTACTAAAACTGGCTTCGATGATCACGAGAAAGAACTAAAACCTTTAAACTATTCATTACAACTGTTATTATCACAAATATTAAGCATTGTTTTCAAGTGAATTACTTTCAGTCCTATAAACCTCGCTAGTTCAGTTAATTTTAAGGGCCCTTCCGTGGCGCACTGTTCATAAGAGCTTCTCGTCTGTCTTTTAAATGTTCCATAATTGAATTAAAAGGTACTTATGATATATTTTAAATGTCCTTCCGTCCGTGCTTGTCGTGCCCGACTTTACGGAGTAAACTAAAAAATTTCTTGCCCTCAGCATTGAATGATATCTACTGTTACGCATTATAAATTGTAATGCCCTAAGTGATATTTGTATTTAATTTTGTTATGGCAAAAAATATAGTTGGGCATTAGTAGCCTACGAAAATATAGGCAATCAAGGAAATAAGCCTGTACATGCCTGGTTCAGAGTCAAAGGGCCTAAGACAGACGCGATCAGCAAAAATCTCGGCAACTGCAATATTTCCTAACGAGGCAAGTTGAACAGAAAGACGTAAAAGACAGTACCCATCATTCAATGCGTCTATATCAACGCGGTCGAAGTTTACCGCGCAAAGCTTAAATTCATTGATATAAAGTTGAGTTTTCTCACACGTTCAAATATTATTAAGCACAAAACGTTCTGATCATTTCGACACTCACTTGGGTGTACGAATATTGGCAGTGTACCTCGAATTTCTCATACTTCCGAGTGCTATTAAGAGTCTATACAACCTCAAATGGCTTTGTTTGATTCCGCATAACAGCGAAAGTGTTCAATCACTTTTAAAAAAACATAATTATAGTAAAATTGAGGATGTACACTGATTACTTTTACGGTGTGAAAACACGATTCATAAAAATTTTCACTATAGAAAAAAACACAAACCTCTCGAAATTTTACAAGAAAACCGTATTCAATAAGTACGTTACATGCACCACACATTGTTTAAATGGCTTTAATTGCTATTGTTTTTTTACAATAAATTCTGAAATAAAGCCAGCGTCGCTGCCACTCAACCTGTGTACTAACACAACCGATTTAGTACGGGAAAATTTGAATTAGAGCTAAGGTAGTATCAATTCTTAAGTTGGGGAGATCAACAATTGTTTAAAATATAGTCAAGGTGCCAATTACGAAATTAGTTGAATTAAAAATCAGTATTAACCTATTTTAGTAATAGTAGAGTGCGATGTGCAAGAGTTCGTCCAGGGAAGTACTGCCACCGTACCTATTTCTTCCGCCAAGCGGTAATGTGAGCATTACTGCGCGCCAGTATTGATGGATAAGGGTGCTGGTGAAATTACAGGCACATGGGACTTATCACCTAATGTCTAAGAGCGCTTACACACGATGCAATCGCCTATAAATCGTGAGTGTAACGATGCAATCGCGCATTTGTATCATTTAATCGCGCGTTTGCGTCGATGCAATCGCCTATAAATCGCAAGTGCAGCGGTGCGTTTCTAGAAGCCGTGTGTAACCACTCTAACAGTGACGGGCGCAGTGGCAGTGTCCCTTAGATAATTGTGATTTAAAGCACTGAGTGGTAATGCGACTGCTATGAACACTCGTGTCGCTTAGCATCAGGCGCACCACTTGTTCGTCCCGTCATTTGGCAACAGAAAAAAAAAACCAGGCGTACAACTTATTCGTCCTGTTACTCGATGTTGTAAAAAAATGGTTAATTAATTTTAATCATAAAAAGAGAGTGTCAATGAGTGGCATGTGCTAGTCATTGTGCTTATTTGCAGTGTCAATCACTGTACTTTCGGGACCGGTTTCAAATATTATTATATATACATACATTACATTTTTTTGTTAAAAACGGTCGTTAGGCATTATTAAATTGTTTTCATTAGTTACGTAACTTCTTTGACAACATTGCGTAACTGTATATGTGTAATCAAAAAGATTCTAAATTGCACTCAAGTAACGGTATTCAAAAGAAAGGGTCAATCATTATAATACCCACTCACTAATTGCTATTGTAAGTATACCATATTCAACGTGGAAAGTTTCAACTGGGCACATATTTAGGAGTCGGTAAATTCAATTTTTGGCCACAAATGAGGAATGAAGCCATTATCATCTACAGTGACAACGAGAGTAGTATAAAACGGACAGGTACTGATGATTATTATTCTAGAACAAAACGCATTGACGTCAGACACCACTTTTTTCGCGACAACGTACAGAGAGGCGTTATTGAAGTCCGCTACATTCAGACTGGTTTGATGGTAGCAGACGTGCTTACTAAGGCTCCGTCGTACCCGAAGCTGGCCTTCTGTGCGAAGATGATGGAGATATGTTTAAGCGAGGATGTTGGAGCGTAAACACACTCCTTGTTCGAAGCACGATAACTTTAGTGTCACGCGTAAAAAATAATTATCTCATAATTGTCTTCCCTATCAAACTGTAGTTTCTGTTTTCTTAATATTCCTTACTTCTATATTATATTCGCGTTAACATTGCTAGTTCGTATTATTTCCCACACTAATTGAAGCCCTGCAGGACTACCTCCGATTCGTATCAGGGGGTCTACTCTCGATTTCCGTCGGAAATCCGTCCGAAACAATTACTGTCAAATAAGTAATATTCGACAAAATTAAAAGACAAGTATCCAGTATGAAGCTTCATTCGCATCACGCGTCTTTTCTTTTGGTCAAGTATTGTTTGTTTGGCAGTAAGTGTTCCGAATCCGAGAAATAACGGTCCGAAACGTCACAGGGATCATGTTATCTCGAGGTGTACAAGCGACATCCGTATTTTCTCAGATCGAGTCGGACTTAGTGCACGTGCGACATCCTAAGTGCGTCCGAGTTTTCTAGATTTGTAAGTCTCGGATTCGGCACGACTACGAATTGGATGTCTCTCGTTCTGAGGTATGAAATCGAAAGTGATTTTTTTGTAAACCTTATTCTAAGTTCATAAAGCTTTATATCAATCGTCACTTATTTATCTGGGGGTTTTGTCTGAGGTGGCGCATGTTGAACATAATTTATGGAATTGGAAAAGGCTCAACGGACAGTTCTTTTTATTAAAAATGTTACTTACTAAAACAAAAATTCGTAAGTTCCGCTGCTTCGTCGAGTGGATTAGTTGGCATAACGTCAGACACGATTTGCTAGAAGACGTTGGTTCCAATCCAGCCGGATCGAAGGAATATTTTCTAAGTGTTCGATCGATTGTATTAATTATAAGAAATAACATTTATTAACATGGCGGCGCAACAAAAACCTGAATAGGGTTATCCGTGAACTCGTAACGAAACTGGCAAATCATTTAGCTTACTTATAACGTGCCTACTCAACCACTTCTATAAAATATCACGAGGCCGCCAAAAGAAGATGCAAATAAACAAATAACTACCTTTTCGGAATAGAGCTTAGACTTTATTATTTCCATCCTCTAAGGAATAGTCACAATAAACATATTTAGATGGTTTAAAAATATCAATTGACGTAAGGGACATTTGTCTAGTTTTCAGGACACGAAAAAAAAACTTTTTTGATAAAGAAATATTCATAACTTGCTAAATTTTCTACCTACAGCTATGGTGCTAAAAACCTATAGTACCCAGAAGTTAGATAATTGAAGAAATTACAAATAATCTTTTTAAAAATATTGTTTTTTATTGTCCTGATAACCAGCCAAATGTAACTGACCTCACATGACATTTAAAGAAGCTTAAAAAATATTATGTTGTGTGTATTGGAGTGGAAAATAAAAATTACAATTAGTTAATAATATAGCCCGTTAGTATTAGTTAGTTATACTTTGCAAACCTTTTAAGTACCAATAGCACAGATTAACTCTGCGCAGAGTGCAAAGTTTTGCGAGCTCGTCAGCTATTCATACATAAAGATGTGACAGCTGCTCACAGCATTACCTTGAGATCTCAACATCATAAACAGTTCATTAAGTGTAGTGAAATCCCAGAAAAAAAGGGGAAAATTCCGAAAAATCCCAGAGCCACCAGTTCGAACTATTTTTGCAACGCGTCTGTCACTTTTCCTTTTGCCACACATGTATAACTTTGATTTTCGGAATTTCCCCTAATCTTATTTTGTAATTAAAATACATGTATACTCGTATACATATTTACTTAGTGCAGAGACCACGAGAAATCACTGGCAAAAAAGCATTATAAAATATTGTAATAGTATACTACTATAGCAAAATCTTCTTGAGTAGTTTTTTGAATGAATATTTGCAATACTTCAAATATGTATAATATAATAGATAATTTAAAAAACATCAACTAGGTACTTAAATTAACTTTTCTTCACTAAGAATAAGCTTTCCTCATGTCATTCGTTCATTCATTCACTCAAACACATTTACTTAAAGATTATTGGAATGATCTTGCAATATTCTGCGTAGGTACTTTCGAGTATTTTTCCGGTATATTATATGAACAGTGATGGGAATTGAAGCAGTTAATTTTCTTAGTATGGATATGTCCATTTCGTTATCAATGCGTATAATTTTTTTTTGCTGTTTATTTTCTAAACAGTCCAAAATATAGGTTGTCACATTTTTCAAAC